ATTTGCGCAAGTGGGACCTTGCCCCAGGAAAGAGAAGATATCTCCCGCAGAGGCCACAAGGAGTATGACGAAAGAGTTATCCGGCACCTAAGAGAACCTTACGGATGCGGTTTGGACGCGCGGGACGCGCAGAAATATTATGCCCCAACAGAAGGGACGGTCACAAAGTAGAACGCAGCGACGCCCGTAAGGACCCGTTTCAAATTCAGAAATAAAATTCAAAAATAAATTCAATAATGGGACGTTCACAGCGAAAATGGCATACCGAAGGCACCATGCATTTTCCCTAACTTAATCCGTTACAACTTAATCCGTTACGTTACAACTTAATCCGTTACGTTACAACTTAATCCGTTACATTACAACTTAATCCGTTACAACTTAATCCGTAACTTAATTAATGGTTGTGCCGTCATGGGCGGGGACGCGTTTTTGCGTGGCACCAGGTACAGTACGCATTTTCCCTGGGACTTTCGTCGATGCATCTGACTCCAATTGTAGCCCAGGTGCAACAACATGGCCAACACGTGTTTCATTCCAGAAAAGAACGGCAGGTCGTGTTTTTTTTTTTTTTTTTTTTTTAAAAAAGGGAAGGGCGACAACCTTGACATACAGTATCATCATTGAACTGAGCGGCCCCCCAGGTCATTCAGACATTCTTTTGTTCCGTCCGTCTGGTTGCACCTGGATTCGCTCTCAGGTCTGCATATCCACAATTTTTCTTCTCTTTCCCTTCCCCTGTTTCCCCGTGTACATTTCCGACGGTGATAAATACTTTTTCTCGAGAAAATAATATACGGGGACTATAGTCATAGTGATAGTCATAGTCATAGTGATAGTGCTAGTGATAGTGCTAGTGCTAGTGATAGTGCTAGAGATAGCTATCAAGTGCAAAGATGCGACATATCTACGGGCAAGACGATCTTGGGAGAAGCCCACTGAGAAGAGCCGGAAGGGCAATCTGGCCGAAACGCGTCGGGGAAATTTGCGCGTTTCTACTGAGGACAGTAGATGCGGAGAAGATGTGAATTTCTATTGTTGCGTGTACGAGAAGCAGCCTATGGCCACCGTTTTTTTTTGTTTTTTGTTTTTTTTAGCACTTCGGCGGAGCGAAGGGCCGTGAAAAATTGTTGTAAGCTGCTGCTCAGTGTGCTCAGCCCACGGTATTTTCTTTAGTAAAAGACGAAAGAATAGTACGCCATATGACCTGCACACGCAGCAGAATTGGCCACCGTTTTTTTTGTTTTTTTTTGTTGAAAAATTTGGACGATTTCTCGATTTACGCGTGTCATCCTTGCGCAGGGGCCATGCTAATCAATCTTCTCTGCATCGTTCCAATCCTTTTAACGGATGTCCCGAAGGACTGGCCACCGTTTTTTCACTATGTCTCACTCCTTCCCTTTCCATATTTGCCTGCACATTTCCGACGATGATACTACTAGTAATACTTATCTCCAGAAAAAATGTACGGGGAGGGAAGCCAAAACGATGAAAAGCGGAAGTACAAGGAATAAAGAGAACAAGAGATATAATACTTATATATATTGTCACAAGAGTATCAGAGCGCAAATGCGAACAAAAAGGGAAAAAGAAAGAAAAACAGGAAAAAAATAAATTCAGTTTTTTTATATCTTCTTCCTTACAACTCCCCCTGTTCATGAAGAACCCACGTGGATGTAGGTTGAGCGGCGGCTGCCCCCACCCCCGTGTGTCATATCGATCCCCCACTTGCACACAGCCAAAAGGCAAAGAGGCAAAGAAAAGAGGAAGGGAACAGCCAAATAAAACAGACCGAACAGGGGGCAACAAAACAGATCCCAGATGACAAGTCCCACATGCAAGCACCGGCCCAGTCCTACACAGGCCAAACGACGGGACAAGAACAACCAGGATATAAAAAGCAAAAGTATTAAAGAGAACATGAGATAAAATACTTATCACGAAATGTAGTCGGAGGGAAGCCAAGACTATGGAAAACAAAACCTATATAAAAAAAAACAGGAGATATACCAAAATAAAATATGATTACAGATAATAAAAGATCGCGATGACAAACGAAAATGAGAAAAATAAGAACACGCCTGTAAAGGGGGGGGGGGGGGTTGGGGGGGGGGGGAGGGGAATTAACAAGATAACGATGACGACAACGGCAAATTACTGCGCGCCAATCGGACGGCGAAAAGAAAACTAAAAGGATGAACCGAAGATATACACAGATAACGATAACGATGACAATCAGATAACGATAACGATGACGACAACGGCGAATCCATCCGACGTGATCATTCCCACTTAAAACATGCATACTCCTACGAGAGCTTTCTGGGATGTATCTGACCGCAGATCGAGCCAGATTGTCCACAAAGAGGGGAAAAAAAGTGTCAGTACGACGTAACTTCGTCGAAGGTTCAAATTGTCTTCCTCGCCATTTCGCGCCTTTTCTTCTTTGCTCTCTTTTCACTTTCGTTTTTTTTCCCCTACTTCCTTGGTTTTCTTCTTTTTTCCTCTTTTCCCGCTTAGGGTTCTCGTCCCCCCCCCTCCTTTTTTCCCTCTTCGCCTTTTTTCTTTGTTTTCCGCGTATCGCTTAGGGTTCTCGTTCCCCCCCCCCCGCTTTTTTCTCCCCTCAATTCTCCTCTTTTTTGTTTTTTTCCCCCTTTTTTTTTTCTCCCCCCCTCTTTTTTCCATTTTTTCGCTTTTCTTCCTCTTTCCTTCCTCTTTTCTCCCTTTTTTTTCTCCTCTTTCCGCCCCCCTTTTTCCCCCTCGGTTTTGGGCTTCGCTCCACTACTCTCCACATGTGCAAAATAAGAATGAATTGTCCGCTATGACATGGAAAAATACAGAGCCATGTTTTCGTCTTCTTTGCATATGGAGAGTAGTGGAGCGAGGCTCTTTCACGCTTTTTTTTATTTCTTCAACGGTCGCATTAGGTATCGTATCTCCCATTCCTCGTCACAACTACGATCGAAAGCGGCCTTCGCGTCGTTGGGGCGAGATGAAAGAGATGAGAGAGAAATAGTCACACGCCGATCTCGGGGATGAAGAGAGTTTTTTCCATTTTTTTTCTCTTTTCTTCCTTTTTTTTCCATTTTTTCTCTTCTTCCACTTTTTTCTCTTTTCTTCCTCTTTTTTCCACTTTTTTCTCTTTTCTTCCTCTTTTTTCCACTTTTTTCTCTTTTCTTCCTCTTTTTTTTTCCCCTCCTTCCCCCTCCTTTTTCATGCTTTGTTATCCATGTCTCCCATTTTTGACGATCACATTCGATAACGTATCTTCCCGTTCCTCGTCACAAATACGATCGAAAGCGAGCGGGGGAATTTTTTTCCCTTTCTCCCTTCACATTCCCTCTGCGTCGTTGGGCGAGATGACAGAGATGAGAGAGAAATAGTCACATGCCGTGGTCTTGAGGCATGTCGAGTCTGGGACTGGAAGAACCTCCCATATTGCTGCTGCACTTTACTTTCCATGTGTCTCCGTTGGAGTTATTAATTTGATTTCGAGTTATTAATTTGATTTGGAGTCATTAATTTGGAGATATTTACTGTATTTGGTAGGTATTTCACTGTTTCGTGTGGATCGACACCGGCGGGCAAGAGTCGCGGGTGAGGTTTAGGGTTCTGAAGGAACTGAGCATGACGTATGTCTTACAAGTAAGACAACACCCATTTCGCTTGTCGACACCTGTTTCATTTCTGCAAGCTCAGTTCCTACACATCACATGTCCGAATAAACGTACGCGTTGCTCTCTCTCTCTCTCTCTCTCTCTCTCTCTCTCTCTCTCTCTCTCTCTCTCTCTCTCTCTCTCTCTCTCTCTCTCTC